TGGATTTACCAGTAAACAGCATCGGCCATTGTACTACTTTATACTTTTTACATATAATTTAAATGGTTTTTTAAAATTTATTTATTTTGTGTGTACATGTGGGGTTGCATTGTGTAGAGATCTCTCCTTCAATCATGAAGGCTCTGGGGATAAACTTGGGTTGTCATGCTTGGCAGCAGATCCCTTCCTTTACTGCTGAGCCATCTGCTTGGCTCTACATACATTGTTTTAAATTTAGAACCACTTAAAAATAAGTTATAAAGGCATTTTACTCTTGAAAATTTTGTTGTGAATATCATAAGTAGACTGCCCTACAAAACTACAATACTACTGTCACTTTAAAAATTAGTAGGACATTGAACTGGGGAGATGGTTCAGTTGATAGTTGTACTAGTGGTTCTTCCAGGGGACCCAGGTTCAGTTCCCAGTACCTCCATGGTAGCATACAACTATCCCTAACTGTAGTTGGAATGGATCTAATACCCTCTTCTCATCTCTTCAAGTTCCAGTTATGCACATGGTACAGCCATATATGCACACAAAACATCCATACACATAAATAAAAGTTTTAAAGATGAAGGTGTAATATTATCTAATTTTCAGCTAATGCTAAAAATTTCTTGGTGCTGGAAGTATATATACTTCAGTGGTAGAGTGCTTGCCTGGAATGCATAAGATTGTGGCTTTGAAAAAGCCTCAACAAAGAAAACTAAACAAACAAAACTCATAACTTACTTGTCCTAGTAATGGCCTTTGTGGTTAATTCTCATTTCTAGTACTGGTTGAAACTTTTTGGCATGGGGGTGGTGGTGGTCTGTTTTTTGTTTTCTGTTTTGAATCAAGGCCCCACTTGATCTCCCTCCACAAGGCCTCCCATTATCTCCCAGGTTGACAAGTCTGGTCTGCTTTTGCTACTTTAGTTGCTTAGGTCTGTAGGTGATGTCACTGTAGTAGTTTCTGGCTACTAGTCCAGGATTTAGTCATTGGTTGTACTTAGTGTCCTTTAGGTTTGTGTGTGTGCCTATGTACAAGTGCACGCTGGGGATTGAATGTAGGGCTTTAGACTCTACCACTGAGTCCCGTCCCCTTACTTACTTTTGAGGTATAGCCATCTAACTTTTTGCTTGTTTTCTTGATGTTGATACATTTTGAGTATAGCTTCATTTTGTTGAATATCTTTCAGTTTGGATTTGCTCAGTAATTTCCTTATGTTTAGATTTAGGTTAAATGTATGTGTTTGAAATAAATGAAAAGTTAATATAATTATGGACTGTGTCGTTTTTTGGTTTTGTTTTTTTCTGAGACAAGGTTTCTCTGTGTAGCCCTGGCTGTCCTAGAACTTGCATTGTAGACCACACTGGTTTGGAACTCACAGAGATCTGACTGCTTCTGCCTCCCAACTGCTAGGATCAAAGGTGTGCACCACCAACACCCAGCTACGGACTGTGTTTTCTCTTTATTTTTGTATTTTTGGAAAGGTTTTATAAATTATGCTTTCTTATTTGAATGTATAGGCAATGCTTTCTTCTGTTTTGTTTGTCTTTAACATAGTTCTCCAGTAGCATTTGTTTTATACACTACCTTCCCACCATTGTAGTTGACATAAAACCAGACTGCAAGTTAATAAGGACAAGATAGGTCTCGTTATAATGAGACAGGCAGAATGTGGAATGTGAAAGTTTTGGTTTGTTTTTTATTTATTTAATATATCAAGACAGGGTCTTATGCAAGCTAAGCTATTCTCAGATTCTCTACATAGCTGAGGATGACCTGAAATATTTTGGTTACACCTGTGAGTGGTGGAATCCAAGGCTGCACCAGCATACCTGGCATGGTGGACTGGACACGGAGTTTTTATGCATGCTAGGCAAGCACTCCATTAACTTTAGCTGGGAACTGACTCCCTTTGTAGCTGAAGATGACCTTGAATTACTAAACCTGCTCCCACCCTGAGTGTTGGGATTATGATCCTGTATCACCACAGCCGTTTATATGGTGCTGGATTTTTAGCCCAGGCCTCTAGTTAGATAGGCACTCTTAACTGGCGTGTACTCCAGTCTTATTTTATTTTTGTTTTGTGTTTGTTAAATTTATATTCATTTTTGTACTTTATGAGCTTTGGAGGTCAGAAGACAACTTGGTATCATTTTCAGAAATGCCATCCTTGTCCTTTGAAACAGGGCCTCTTGTTGGCCTCTGTCCAGTGGGCTCCAGGATTTAACCTCAGGTCTCATGCTTTGTGCAGAGGCCCCAAGTATTAAAACATTGTAGGTTCAAGCATTCTAAATTAAGCACTTTGCATGTCAGCCACTAGTTTTAGCACCTTATGCTTCTCCTTTTTTGAAGATGGAGTCTCCTATATTCCAGGCTAGCATGAGACTTGCCCTGAAGCTGCGGTTGGCCTTGATATCTCCCTCCTTCCTACCTTTACCTCTAATGTGCTGGGTTACAGGCCAATGGGTCCTGCTAAGTTAGAAGTTCAGAGTAGAGATATAGGACAAGGCTGTTGCTTGAATCAGAAAAACTATCAAGGCAACAGGAACTGCATCTCTCACTTGACAGACTCTTCTGAGCTTTGTTGTCTTCCACCAGAGAACAAGGGGCCTTTGTTCTAAAGCCTGATGTTGAGAGGTTAGCAAAATATTACTACATTTATCAAGCCAAGATTTGAACACATTTGTGAACCGAGGGTAAGATTTTTGCAGATTTTACTCAGAGCATTAAAAGAATACTTGGGCAGTATTTTTGGGTCTTCAGGCTTGTACACAAATCAGCTTTTGAATACAAAAAGCTTTAAATATAGAGGGTTAGCACTTCATTTATTTCACATATTTACATGTGGTGTGTGTGTGTATGTGTGAGAGAGAGAGAGAGAGACAGTGTGTGTGTGTGAGAAAGAGAGAGAGAGAGACTGTGTATGTGTGTGTGTGAGAGAGAGAAAGTGTGTATATATGTGTATGAGAGTGTGTTTGTGTGTGTGTGAGAGAGAGAGAGAGAGAGAGAGAGAGAGACAGGGACAGAGACAGAGACAGAGCGAGTGAGCGAGCGAGAACACTAGTTGGCAGGTCTGTTAGAAACAGGGTCTTCCACATTATCTCAGGCTATTCTAATTCACTATGTACACTAAGGCTGGTCTTGAACTTTTGTCAGTCTTCCTGCCTCAGCCTCCCAAATGCTGGTATTACAAGTATGAACTACCATTCCCATATATGGGAGGAGTACATGTATCTTCTGTCTGTATTAAGTTTGCTGTGCATGATGATTGGGATAGGGCTGAAAATAGAGTGTCAATTTCATGGGACTTATAGTTAAAAGAGAGAAAGAGGCAGACAGGGACACTGAGATACTGATCAAAGGCATACTAGCATTTGGAAATGTTATATGCAAAAATATGTGTACTGTTCCTAGGCCTATCCCTTTTGAAATTTGTTAGCCATCTCTTTGGTATGCAGATGCCAGGCCCAAGGTTCAATCCCTAGCGCTGAAAAGAAAAGGGGCGGGGTCAAAAAGCTGGTGCTCATGACTTAACTACAATGAAAATTGATTTTTTGTGATTGAACCCAGAGCCATAAATGTTCTAGGCAGGTGCTTTTCTATGGAGCTGCCTCTGGTCCCACCCTGTGAATTATGCTGGATGATTAACGAGAGATGTACTAATCCGAGTATAGCAACAAGTCATCAGGAGTTGGCTTGATATGTCCATTTAGCAGAATAATAGTGTGTTGGTTCTCTCCTAGGGCCTGTGACCTCTCTAGTCTCATGAGAGACTTTCAGGCAGCTGTACCATTGTAAAGTTCTATGTATAGTAGGGACTACTCAACAAAAAATCTGTGCCACTGAAGAATCTCACCCCTTAAGAATCTTGTATATGGCCGGTCAGTGGTGACATACGCCTTTAATCCCAGCACTTGGGAGGCAGAGACAGGTGGATTTCTGAGTTGGAGGCCAGCCTGGTCTTCAGAGTAAGTTCCAGGACAGCCAGGGCTACACAGAGAAACCCTGTCTCGAAAAACACAAAAAAAACCCCAAATAAACAACAACAACAAAAAAATCTGTATATGATCTTGAGGAGAGGTGGATTTCATGCAGCCTTCAAGTCTTCCCTCCATGAAGGAATGTCAGTAGGCTTGAGCTCTTGATAGTCTTTGTTGGGGAGATACCAAATCCGCAGTGGTTCATGAAGGCAGCTGTTACGGTGAACCTGGAGGACACAGCTACAACTTTGCTTTCTTATGTGAATATTACCTGAATATTTTTTAACAACTACACATTTGGTTTATCTAGAATTGGCTTACTGTCGTGATATTAGCATGTTCAGAATGCTATATTCTAGATGTTTTCATAATACTGGTAGTTTAATAAAAATGTAACTCAGTTGTAGAATACTTGCTTAGTTATGTGAGGCTCTGCGTTGATCTCCAGCAGTAGTAAAAGCAAAACAGAGCAAAATGTACAAGTGAACACTTTAAGGAAAGTGAGATCTAAGAATAGCCTAGGTATCAAAGTACTTAATGCAAAGATACTCAGCTGTCTGCTCTGTCCTGCCCTGATGGTTTTCCTAATGTGATGAAAGGTGTATATCTTAACAGCAGCAGGTTTTTTTTTTTTTTTTTGGTTTTTTGAGACAGGGTTTCTCTGTGTTGCCCTGGCTGTCCTGGAACTCACTCTGTAGACCAGACTCAGAAATCCGCCTGCCTCTGCCTCCCAAGTGCTGAGATTAAAGGCGTGTGCCACCACTGCCCAGCAGCAGCAGGTTTTTTTGTTGTTGTTGTTGTTGTTGTTGTTGTTTTGTTTTTTTTTTTTGTTTTTTGAGACAGGGTTTCTCTGTGTAGTTCTGGCTGTCCTGGAACTCACTCTGTAGACCAGGCTGGCCTCGAACTCAGAAATCCTCCTGCCTCTGCAGCAGCAGCAGTTTTTAAAAAGGATTTTTTAAAAAAAAATGGCATGTTAGTATATCAGTGCCAATATCAAACTACTAAATTGTTGATTTTCTTTTCTAGAATTCATCATACAAATAAAATGACAACCTCCTGGAGTGATCGCTTACAGAATGCAGCAGATGTGCCTGCTAACATGGATAAGCATGCCTTGAAAAAGTATCGGCGAGAAGCTTATCACCGGTAAGATAACTTTATCCTCAGAACACCTCTAGGAATCGTACACTTTCTACTCTTATTCTTCAGGTGATGGAATTAATATACAGAGCTGTTAAGTAATTTATCACAGAGCATATAGCTAACTTGTAGTTCAAATCAAGTGACATTCAGGCTTTTAACTGCAGCACACCGGTATAGCTACTAATAAAAATCCTGAAGAAAGTCTTAATTTGCTAGAAAATTGCACCTAGTTAATTGGATTAAAATTTCTTTTTACCTTTTTTCTTGATAGTTTGATGTAGCCCATGCTGTTACTGAACTCGTATCAGTCTCCTGCTTCAGTTTGTTAAGAGTCGTGCAACCACTACGTCTAGGCTTCTTTCTCTCTTTAGAGATAAGATCTGCTGTGTTACTCAGGCTGGCCTCTGCTGTGTTGCTCAGGCTGGCCTCTGCTGTGTTGCTCAGGCTGGCCTTGAATACACAAGCTTAAGTCCTTCAGCCTCAGCCTTCCAAGTAGCCAGGACAACAGATATTGTCATGCCTAGCTAAGATTGAAATTATTTTTTAAAAATTGTTTATGATGATGATGTGTTTGTGTGTGTGTCCATGCATGCATGTGGCCATGCCACAGTGCACATGTAGAAGTTAGAGGACAATTCTGTGACTTCTGTTCTCTCCTTCCTTCCATCTTTATGTGGTTCTGCGGTTTAACTCAGGTCACCAACCTTACACAGCAACTGCCTTTTCCTGCCGAGGATGAAATACTTAACTGTTGCTTGCTGTAAACTGGTTATAACTTTTAGACAGAATTTACAATTCTGGTTACTCAACCCAGGTGTGGTAGTACATACTTGTGATCTCAGCACTTGGAGGATGGAAGAACAGAGGGTCGTGAGTTCAGGGCCAGCTTGTACTATATGAATCATTGTCTCAAAAAGATAAAAACATAACATACAGAATAATAATTTTGTTCATAATATTAGTATTTATTTTAAAAGTGTTACACATTTCTGACCCTGGCTTTTTACACAGAGAAGAGTGGATATCTAGCCTGGTTAGTAGTCGGTATTTATTATTAGCTGAAGATACTTCACTAATGGTAGATCACTGTGTAGCATTTCTGGGTGTTAGGCTATTGTTCCTGAAGCCCTGCAAAAGTCAAACATTTCTGGTTCCTGTCAAGTCTCCAGATTACATAGTGGGAATTGATGACTCTCCTTCCTGTGTGCTGTGTTGGTATATGCCATAGGAATTCAAGTATAGAACAGAATTTTAAAACTTTTAAATATTTATTGTATTATTGTGAGTGTATGTGATATGCATGTGTGAAAGTGGGTGCTCATGTATGGTGGTCACAAGACAGTGTTGAGGAGTTGATTCTCCTCCTGTGGTTTCCAGAGCTTGCATTCAGGTTACTAAGGCTTGTACCCAATGAGCCATCTCTTGGGCTTTAAGACAGCATGTTTATCTGTATAAAGAAAACATAGGGGATATGGATATGGTTCAGTTGGCAGAGTGCTTATCTAACCATACAGAGTCCTGGGTTTGATCCCTAGCATAGTTCAAATTGAGCATGGTGGCACGTGCTTGTAACCTCATTACCCTGATGGCAAAGACTGAGGACTAAAAAGGTCAAGGTCTTCCTGAGCTACATGAGATCCTGTCTTGAGTGAAAGAAAATATAGCACAAATATTCTGTTGAATGAAGGTGTTCTATATATTTATGTCTCATTATTTGGTTAGTCTTTAGGCTCTAGAGCAATGATTTTCAACCTTTCTAATACTGCAACCCTTTAATATAGTTGCCCATGTTGTGGTGACTCTAAACCATAAAATTATTTCTAAAATTATTGTTACATAGTAATTGTAATTTTGCTACTGTTACTTAAGTGTAACATAAATACCTGATATTCGGGGTATCTGATATGCAGGGTATCTGATATGCAGGTATCCTCCAATTCTGGAGGATACATTTGAATGCAGCCGTTTTAGCAGGGAAACAGGGCTTAAGTTACACAGTGAAGAGAGATAAACATTAACATTTCTAGCAGACATCATCTGGCAGTCATCCTACTTGCATGCCATAACTCACATACATTTCTGACTCATCTAGAATGGTATTTTTGTAATAATTTAGATGGATTCCACACCCTAAATTTTTCATAAGGTAGGAGTAATATGAAACAATGGAAATAATAATAAAACATCTCTCAAGTTTTACAACTTTTTTTAAACTAGGGCTCGCTCACTATCTGGGTCATACCCTGAATATGCTCATAACCTTCCTACCTTAGACTTCTGATTGGTGGTATTTTAGGTGTATTCCAGAAGGCCTTATTAAATTCATTTTCAAATTTTGATTGTTGGGTTGTTAGTTTTTGTGTAATGCAGGAGTAGTGTGATATGATTCTACATGTTAGGTAAATACTATCTTGGGGCTTGAACCCAGGACTCTTAACACAGCTATATCACTCTGTCCTAATAAATCACTTTTTAATTAAAAAAATGGTTTCTTGGACTCTTGCAAGTATTCACTTTTTAAAAATTATATGTCTATTTCCAAAATTGACAAAAATTGTGTATATGATTTCAAACATTTTAAATAGGTATGCAGTGTGGAATGACTAAATAAAGCTAGTTAATATGCATTAACTTGAGGCTGGGGAGAGAGCTCAGTTGGCTGGGTATTTGCCATGTTAACATGAGAACCTGAGTTGATCTTTAGAACCCACATTAAAAAAAAGTTGGGTCTGGTGGTACAGTCTGTAATCCCAGCACTGGAGAGGTGATTGTAGGATTCACAGACCTCTCTGGCCAGCCAATCTAGTTTATTTGGTAAGCTTTAGGCTGATGAGAGATCCTGTCTCAAAAACTGTGGTAAATGACACCTTAGGAATACTGTCTGAAGCTGATTCCCAGCCTGTCCATGGGCACATGCCTATGCTTGTATTTTTGTGCAGAGAAACGTATTTTTATGAACGTGCATGTGTGTGTTAACTGTTTTGTGGTAAGAACATTTAAAGTCTCTCAGTAAGCTTGCAGAGGCTAAAAGAGGAATGTCAGGAGTCTTGGCTACATAGTGAGTTCAAGGCTAGCCCGGGCTACATGAGACCCTGTCTTAAATAACATCCCCCACTCTGAAAGAAAAAAAAAGCAACAAAGATTTCTCAACCATTTTTAAGTATACAATATTTTATTATTAACTATTATTACATTATGAAATACATATCTTGAGCTAATTTTCCACACAATATTTTATTTAATGAAAAGTTTCAGACATGAGTCCTTGCTTCAGATATCCCCTCCACCCCTTTACCCCCCAAATTTAATTGGTCCAGCATGGTGGCACTTACCTGTAACCATGGCACTTGTGGGGAAAGATGAGGAGTTCAAGGCCAGCTTTACCAAGGTCAGTTTGAGGCCAGTGTAGGCTTCATAAGACTTTCTCAAATATACAAAAATTTAAAAAACAAAAATTATTTAGTGATGATGTGTGACACTATTCCTGGGGAGATAACAACAAACATCTACTCAACCCACATAGGGAACTGACAACAGACTTAAGTAAGGGTACCATCAGAGTCCAACTTAGTGAGCCAGTGAGTTTTATTGGGGTTACTTACAGGAGCAGAAATGAGTCAAAGGCAGTTCTCTCCAAAAGCCTACCCCAGCATAGGCAACAGGTTTTGAAAGCTGAGAATCTGAAGCTCACTGCATAGTGTATAGGCAGCTAGAAAGGTTGGAAAATGTCTACTTGAGACTATTCCTATGGTCTAAGCCTTTCCTAGGCAGCTTAGCTGGTTTGAGAGTGTTGTAGGCAGTTGAGGTGGTTTGCTTCTTTCAGCTGCTCAGCCTATTTGAACCTGTTTGTAAGCAGCTTCACTTGTTTGAGTGTATCTCTTAGTGGTCTGTAGTATAAGCAATTTAAGTTTATTTCCAGTTAGCTTACAAATAAATGAGACTCAGACTATGGTTATTTTATTTGGCTTTGACCATTACTGGAGGCGGCGGGGCTGGGGGGAGGGGGTGGAGGGGGTGGAGGGGAACGGGACAGGACAGGACAGGACACCTAGTAATCTACTCTTCTAACTGCCGGGCTGGCTACCTCCCCGGAGGTGTATCCCAGATACTTGATGTATCTCCTAGCCATGTCTTCTTATGGTCCATCTCCCCTCATGAAGGCTTCCTTTTCTCTCTTGTTCTTCCTTTTTCTCCTGGTCTCTTCTCCTCCAATCAGGTCACTCCAAACCCACCTACCTCTAATCCTTCCAGTAATTGGCTGTAGCCAATTTTTGTTGTTGTTGTTTTCGAGACAGGGTTTCTCTGTGTAGCCCTGGCTGTCCTGGAACTCACTCTGTAGACCAGGCTAGCCTCGAACTCTCGAACTCAGAAATCCGCCTGGCTCTGCCTCCCAAGTGCTGGGATTAAAGGCGTGCGCCACCACCTGGCTTTTGTTTTTTTGTTGTTGTTTTGTTTTTTGGCTGTAGCCAATTTTATTTAACCAATAGTTTTAAATCAAGGGTCAAGGTTTGCACAACAAAAGCTTGAAAACATAAAGAGTCACTCATAGCCCTAGACCTTTGGTATAAAACTTAACATTACAATGCATAACAATTGACCAAATCTCAACAATGGTCCTTACTCCTTATTTATTTATGCTTAGGAAATAAAGGCTCTAATGAGCATGTTAGGTTTCAGGGACTTCCTGAAGTGTTGGAGTTATTTTCTCTCTGAGCCTAATTAGCTTCCCTGCAGGATTGAATAGTTCACCTACTTTTAGAACATTCTGTACATTATCAAGCTTTCTTCCAAGACAGAAGATTGGAAGACATTTCCACAGAACAAATTAAAAACCAGTTAGTTTTTTCTATTTTTCTTCTTTTCCTTCCCTCCACTCCCATCCCCTCCCTCCCTCCCTCCCTCC